AAACATACAGAGAAATGATATTGATTATCTCTTATTACAGAGAAAACAATCCGCATTACTGCTAGCCTCAGTCTAAATAACATTGGACTTCTATACCTGTTCGACAGACAGAGTTCACTGATTGACTCCCCACCCCTTTTCCATGGGCTTTTCTAGTTTACGATTGTCAAAAATAGGTATCGTGGGGTTTCTCATGCTGCTGGAAAAAGTCAACGCGTGACGACGTGGAATCGGGAGGAAAACGCTTACAAAGATTATGATACTCTCCGGAGCAGCCCGGCCGGAAAAAAACATGAACGGGATATGCTTTTTTTGCAAAAGTCTGGATATTAACGAAACGTGCTTCTCAAAAGATGTTCCCGAATAAGGTTCGAGTCAATCGTCGATCTCTCAGCGGCAAAGCAAATAAAATTAGATGGGGGACACGGGGGCACGGCGTCTTTATATAAATAAACGACAGGGAGACGTGGGGTATAAAGGAGATGTATTTTTCGAAACGGCAAATAAAAATGTCGGAACGACGATGGAGAAAATTTATTAATGTTTACTGCTTTAAGTTTTACAGATCAACCACCAACCGGATTAGGATTACAATTAAACTCTTCTACAGGGTGTGCTGTTAATATCAAATAATCGGGCTGGATTCTAACTTTGATTTGAATTATGGACCTCTTCAAATGGACAAAGACTAAGATACTGTCAACAATGTCGTCCATAATATGAAGATTTCCTTTTGAAAATTTTATTTTTCTATTAACTGATGGCGTATCGCCGCTATAAGAATTTCTAAGTAAAGTTACAATAGCTCACAGAAACGAATACGGAATGAACAATAATGTCCGCAAAACCAAAGTTATAGTTATTTTCAACAAGTAGCTAAATTGAAGTATCTTGGGTCTGGATTGCTGAAGATTGGCGCCAGGAAGTTGAAGCCAGAATCGAACAGGCCCGTAGCACTTTTCTCAAAATGAAGCAGGTCTTTGTAACAAAATTTTAACACTAAATATCCATCATCAAATCATGGTTAAGTGCTCAAAGTGATCATAATTGAAGTCGTTGAAATATTAATATTTCGTGTATGTATCAAATGAATCCGTAGAGTTCTCAAAAGAGACCTACTAAGTACAATTAAGAAAAGGAAACCAGCATTCTACATCTAATCATAAATAAAATTGGAGTGAAGCCTGGTCCAAGGAGGAGCAGATATCCTGGATGAAAAATATTCGAGGTTGGACACACTCGTCAGAAACAGGAGAAGAATTTGCTGCAGTTGTCACCAATCTTGCATGAAAAGAGGCACATGAAGAAGAAGAAGTATTAGGAGAAATCCTAACACTGCCTAAGAAGGCAGGTTCATATTATGGGAGTGGGCGACGACAGAAAAATATGAAACTAACGAGTTGCGCATCACTAAGAAGGAGCCAATTCATTGAATTTTAGACACTATCCCAACTCCCCAAGAAAGAGGCCATGTATTCGCTCGAGAGTACAGAGCCCTTCGAAGGGAGAAGGTGAAGATGTGCGGGTGCAATGGAGGAAGGGACGCACAGCAGATAAAATTGTATAGATATAGATATTGATGGATTAGCCAGTTTTCTAGACTAATCGACCTTTTTTCTCGTAAGATCGCTCATTGTTTGTATTTTTTAATTTATTAGGAAACACCACTCAAGTCTACGGAGCAAGATTATTTGTGGTTTCAATTTACCCAATTTAACTATTGATTTCAAATTAAAACGGGTATTGCCAGACATAACTCACAAAAGCTATAAATGGTTTAATAATATATTATGCAGCAAGTGTTGCATACTATACTTTTTCTATGACCGTCACAAAAAAATGACAATTTAACAAATTAAAAATAATAACAAATTATCGGATTACTAAATTTCGTACCATTAAAAAAAAATATTTACTAGTTGCCATTAAACCTATTCGTTTATCGTTCCAATCGGTTCTGCTATTGCTATGTCTTTTTAACTCTGTGCGTTAGACACAGACAGATATATTATTGGATATGTCTTATAAACAACGGAATAAACACTATTTTGGAATGTTATATTGTTTATTTAACTTTTTCAATTGATCAATAAGTAGTTTATTTAAAGAAAAAAAAAGTAATTGGAAGAAAAGTCATCCAAGAATAGAGCTTTTAAGAGGATTACATTTTTACAGCAAGAAAAAGCAGGGCCTAACCTTCAATTTTGTTTTGTTTGTACTGATTAGACATGGCAAGATATTAATATAAAAACCACTTTACTTTCCGACAAGTCCACTACATTTTAAGTGTAGCGTATTATTTAAATTGTCTGATATATTACATAACGTTTTTCTGTGTATTAGTTTTTGTGTACGTTGCAAAATAAAACAAATACATTCACTGACGCGACCGTCAGAATTGACAAACGTCAAAATTCGTATTCGTGCGGTATTATGCAACAAGTGCGGTAAACAGCATTTGACTCACGAGTTTATTTGACACGAGTGGAGCGCAGCGGAGCGAGTTTTTAATAAACGAGTGACTTAAAAATTTTACCGAGCGTGTTGCATACTGGGTAGATTTTCGCAAAACAACAAGAATACATTCACTGACATGATCGCCAGAATTCAAAGCGTGGGAAATATCTCCGAAAACATCCGGTTGCTCCCAAACCCGTGCGGTAAAATCCCGGAAATGTCCGAAGTGGCTCAGATCCGTGGGAAAAGAAACTGACGTGGAAAAGTGACGCTTCCCGCATGCTAGATAGGTGTGTAATTAGATATTTTACAGACGAGAATAGAAAAAAATATATTTTAGGGGCAAAACAACACAACCTATCGCATATAGATTGAATTAATCACCCTCCCAAAATTTTTTGCTATGTCTCCGATGTTTCAAAATATGAAGAGGGGAAACTTTGCTTTATGCACGCATTATCCATTATACATCCATAAATTTCCAGACCAATCGCGTTTTCAGTATCTATAATGAGGTTTCGTACTTCTCTTTTACAACATAAACCCATTTATTATTTATCGTCTTGTGTAATCTTTTACAACATTATACCTCGTCGATATTTTTCATTTTCCTTCTAATTATTTTTAATTACACGACATTTTTGGGTAAACAAACGTATTCCGAACATTTCGGATGACAGTTCGGCTTCACAAATGCTTCAGAATCATAAAGTCGCTTTTCACGACTTTAATGATGATGAATCGTTATATATTAATGACGTTTCAGCGCAGAGATGTTTGAACACGGCGTTGACAAGTGTCGCGAAGCTTTTAGAAAAGTTACATTTAAACTGGCGACAATCTTTCGCAGAACGCCCTAAATTATTTATTAACTCGAAAGTCAACAGGAGCACTTTGTATTTATTTGTATAAATATTTGTATTTGTATTTATAAAATTAAATGGTTCTACAGTTCGAGTTTCATCAACAGAAATAGAAAAAAAAGTTTCTCTCCCTAATCAATTTTCTATAAAAAGTAAACACATTTGGCGTAAGACCATCATGGTCCAAACCCACAAGTTATTTCTGATACTGAAAAAAAAACTGGGCCACATTGACACCAAACGTAGCAGTTGCCAAAACGCATTCTTTTAGTGTACTGTCCTGCCTTGGATCTCTACCCAATTTAGTCAAAAAAAGAATGAAATATCCTTTTGTTTTTTGTCGCAAGAGAACCAAAATGTGATTGTTTATTGCTTTTTACAAATCGTTTCATTCAAGTAAGAATAACCGCTGTGTTTTCTTTTTGACAAAAGAGCTCTTTTCGAAAAAAAAATGCAAAAAAAATAAAAACAGAGTGGTACATCAAAAAATAAAACAGTGAGAAAACGGCAATCAAAATACACAAAATCAGAAAATATTTGATCTCTAAGAAGTTATAATGGCTACTGAAAAGGCATTGCCAAAACACAAAAGTTCCAAAAAATTACTCCAAATTGAAATTTTTACCACAGGTTAATGATGTGTATACCAAATTCGTTGCGCCCTCTAGGGTCTCGTCAGAAAACCATTAGCTATACACATTTCCCGCTGTGGCATTGGATAGTATATTTGGATATTTTCAAAACTTTAGAAGGATTACGATTATATTCGTACAGGTTTTTTATGCAGGTTGTTTCTCCTCTAATTTCCAGAGGATATAAAATGGTGAAACATAACGTTAGCTTAATTGTTTCAAATGTTTTCAGAAGATAAAGGGGCCAAAAAATACTTAAATTCAATTTAGATCACAAGTGCCATAAAAGTCGGCCTTTTCTTAGATTTGGAAGGAAGAATACTGAATACAATGAAATATTTTAACACATATAATTTCTTGACAAAAATTTGAATTATCATCCAAATTATAATGAAATTAAGCAAATAAAAATGCAAGTCTTTTGTCGCTTGATTGTTTTCGTATATTGCTTTTTTTCAAGAAAAAAAACAATTTAATGTATGTCACTATTGGGCAACAAATTCTAATCAGTTTTTTATTAATATCTTTAAAAATGTGGTAGTTTTATGTTTGGCAGGACCCTAACTTAAGCCTAACTGGAATAACATTTTTCCAGGGACATGCAATCAAATAATTTTTATTTCTTTCCTCGAAACTAGGCATTTTTTTAAAAATATTTTGAATTCATGTTCATATAAACAAAAATTATTATTTTTTCACGTACAATCCCTTAAATTATTCATATGTTATTTCCACCTTATATAAGTTATTAATTGGTACTGTACTGTACTTAATTACACTTAATGGATTCTATTAACAGTGAAAGAGTTTCATATGTATTATTAATGTGTATCATTATGTATTAATAATGCATTTTAATTGCTCACATATAAATACTATAGAGTAAATATTTCACGATATGCTGACAATTTGTTCCCCGTAGGAGATAAAGAGTGACTCGCTTGCAATCCTGCAGAATAGAGAAGACCCAAACGTATTCGTTAATAAATCGTCCGCAAATCGATCCAATTCGTTGAAAAAAAAAATACATTATCGAACATCGACTTACCAGCGTCGCGCGTTCATCGTCGTCGGCAATTCAAAAACCACAACTGCGAAAAAAAAACTTAAAATGCATACTAATTCGTAGTCGAAACGATTCTACGTTCGGAAAGGGAATGATCGCTTTTTCCGTTAAATTTCAAACTGGAGCACGCGCGTATATTTATACCATCGACACAGTCGATGCGCCTTTCGGACTCGCGGTGTTCGTGCCGACTACGGGCGTCGCGGCGTCGAGCGTCGTCACCTGGTCAACGAAAGATACCGACGTCGCGTAGGGGGTGTCCTTTTGGTGTTGGTCGTCGCGACGCTCGCGCACGTCCCTCCGGAGACGCTTCGGGTATTCTGTCCCGTTCCAGATTCCGCGTTCAAAATATAAACACCGACTGTCCCGGGTAGTCATTAACAATTAAGAGATTTCTTATTAACGTTAATGATTTACCCTGCTTTCGTTAATTCGAGATGTTTTTGTGCCGTACTTTACTCTTAATCACTTTTAATATACCGACCGAAGAAAAGATTCTTAAAGAAAGGAAAATCTGTATACTGGAAATACTAGACCTCAAAATATTACACTACGTGTCATACAAATGTAGCTGGTCACAGACCGTTCGAAGTTTAAATTTTATTCTGAATATAATAATAATAATAAAAATTGGCAGTTTTGGGTTCTTAGACATAACAATTAGGAATTTAAAATTTATGTGGACGTTGCTCCTAGAGGGCGCGAGTTTCACTGTGTAAATAAATAAATCTGTGAAGCGTTTTCTGCTTTTTTTTTTCTAGTGTTCAGGAGCCAGAAACAACTCCTTGCCGCGATCTTTTTTAAATGCTGTACGGATTCTCTGCTGCTACCGCTATTTTTAATCTTTAATAAAAGTTTATCAGAAGGGCACTTCCCGACTATTTGGAATTGTGCCAAGGTTCATAACATTGGCAGTAAGATTGATATTACAAACTACCGACCCACGCCAATTCTTTCCATTCCAGGCAAAATGCTTGAGGCAATTATAACTGAATAATTAGCTATTAAACTTAGGTACGTTCTTGGTGAAACGCAATATGGCTTTTTTAGGGGTAGGCGCGTCACTACAAATTTCTCACTGTATATTAAAGATGTGTCACAGAGGTTGGATAATAGAATGCAAATGGATGCTGTGTACACTGATATATTCAAGCCATTCGATAAAGTACATCATCCTACAATGTTAGTAAAACTTAAAAACTTCTTTGTGTACGGTTCTCTTTTACAACCATACATTAGTTCTAGGACTCATTTTATTGAGTTAAATGGAACTAAATCTATCACGTCTAGTACACTTCAGGGACCTATTCTGTTTTCATTGTTCATAGGAGAAGCGAGTAAATGTTTTCATTTTGCAAAATTTATTTCAAATGCTGATGAGCAAAGGGTGTATGCGCCTGTCAGGAGCATCGACGACTGTCGCAAGTTTCAGGAGGACCTTGATAAATTTTATGACTACTGCTTAGGAAACCGACTGTTTTCAAATATTGACAAATGTTACTAACTTAAGTTCAGTAAATTAAAAAATGATATTATTATTATAAATTCAATAGAGTAAATATTAAAGAAGTAAAACATATCAGGAATCTTCGAGTGACTATTGACACAAAACTGAGTTTTGACATTCAAGGGTTAGCAAAGAATTTACAGATCCGCTGGTCGTGCTCTATAAAACTTATGCGCGGTCCTATCTCGTGTTTGCCAGTGTGATATGTAGACCTCAATATGTAAACAGAACTGAATGCACTCAAAAAGAAGTTCATTTTTCTCATGAACTTTAAATATAAATACAATCTAATAAGTGTATCGTATGAAGCAAGCCTTTACTTCTTTCATATGTTATCATATGTTATCTGTAGAGTAGACTGTTCGATACTATTTAAAAAAATATTTCTTTAATGCTAGGGTGGTTATGACTAGAACGCCAGCTTTATTCTATGCGCCTAAATATAATACAAATTTAGGAAGCATTTCACCAATATCTCTTTTGCAATTGCAATTCATTTAGCAATAAAAGTCTTTCTCTAGGACTGAATTAAATTTGTTTCTACATTCTTTCTTGTTTTACTTTTTTCTTTTTATTTAGAAATAGTTTTGCTTACTCTTTTTTTGAATTAAGATAAATTTAGTTTTAGTGTACCTTTTTAAATTGTTTAGTTCGTCATGTTGAATCATTTTTCTTTTGTTTGTTAAGTTTTTAAATTAAGCTTGAAACATGAAACATTTCATAGAAAAGGAACTCTGTTTAGTTTTGTTCATAAAATTTGTGGATTCCTCCTGTTTCGGTTTTTGTGGAGTCAAACTAGCTAACGTTTCGCCAATATAACGCCATCTATACCCTTAAAGTGGAAATTATTAGAGAGAAGAGCGGTTTTTTTATTAATTAATTTAAGTAACAATCTTAACCGCGACTCAGGTCTCTTTCTGTCACCAATTTGGGAATCAGTCATCCGAGATGGTGTTTATGCCCCTCATTAAGCTCCGCCCCCTCCAAAAATATAAAAGCAGGTACGGAGTAAAATGCGAGTCAGTAGCCTGTGGAAGTTTCTTTGAAAAATTGCTCTGTTTAGGCTGTTAGTTTTGACCTGATTGCGTTTAAAAAGTTCTGCCGAAGCGAGAGTATCTTTTCTATGAAAAATTAAACTTTCTATAAAATTTTTATCATATTTCCACCATAACTTGACGGATAAAAAATACATGATTCGATTTATCTAAACAATACCACTGTAGTCTCACCAAACAATTGCGCCCTAATGGTATCTGTATGTTTATTCGTAACAGTCTTTTCTTCATCATAGTCTCAATTAATGTTTTGTTCATCCGGATTTTTATTTTTTATCTAATCTGAGAACTCCATAGAACTCCAATAAATTTTTTTGTTCTAGATTTACCATGTTAAATTCATTTTTTTATCTCGTTTTCACAAAATCCATCTTCGCTTATATTTAGCCCCCTTAAAGCCTACGATCTGGCTTTAAGTCGCGATCACTTTATGCTAATAACTAAATACTCTTTTTTTTGAGCAACTTAAAATCTAGACCAACAATATTGGAGATGTATATATAGACGTAGGGTTTTCACTAAAATTATGTAAAACTGGTTTTTCTACTCCCGTGACGTTTGTCAATTCTGAGTTTGGTCATTCGTTTATCAAATACTCTCCAATAAACACTGCTAAATTCAAATGCCGTTTACTACCCTTGCTGCATAATATACTCGTAGTATTATATATTAAAGTCAGAATAGTTAAACTAATATTATACGAGCAACTTGCTTCAAATATATATGCAAGGCAGGTTCAGCACAGCTTGCCTGGCAAATTGAAGTGAATGGATCTAGGTTCTGTATTCCAGGAAACTTGCTTATCCACTCCCTACTTTTCAGTTGTTTATCTAATAAGTTTATCAGAAGGCGCATAGACGTACACGTCGAAGCAAGTGGATACGTTACAGCATAAATTTAAAATTATAATGAAAATATTTGGTCACATCTGCGTCATAACGCCACAACCGAAATGTTGGGGTCTACTAAAGGAATACAACTTATATCCTTTTGAACTTTCCAAAGAAAATGCCTTTAACAATAGCAATAAGCAACCTCTAGAATTCCTCTTTGTTATCCATTTTCTAATACATATTTTCTGTCTTTGGCTAGACGCTTTCTCAATTTTGCCGATAGTCCCTCCAAACGTTGAACTAATAACAATTTGGACACCGATTTCAGAACTGGTTTTACCCGTTTACCACCACATCAAATCGGGGCACTGGATTACTTGCCATTAACAGTCAGTTGCATACTTGCCTTAACTTTCCACCATATTGGTGTGAACTGGCATGAAACCGAAATTTACCATTTCACTGTTACATTTGTAATGCTTCTTATTGGAGTGATAATTTTAACTGAACTCTGGCGACTAAAATAAATTATTCATAACACTTTTTTTAATACATCCCTTATATGTACCAACTGTATCTTCGTCTTGCATTTTTTAAATGTTGAATGACTGATGATGATAAGTGACCATAATAGTCACTGTAATGATTGGGATGTTCTAGCCAGCCTTTTATTCTCACGTCGTGATTTCTATGACTTTGATAAAGTAATGTTTATGTCTTATAAATGTATCATAGCAACCGCCACCACTATCTTGCAGAATAAAATTGAAACCCCAACTCCGCCACCAAAATTTTCAGCCTAGCATTCGAACATTTTAAACCAGTACTATTTTCGTAATCGCCGCCATTTAACAATATCTGCGGCCGTGGTGCCTTTTTTTGCTCTGTCGTGTCACGCGAGCTTTTTCAATGCCGATCGATTTTCCCGATTTTATCACGTGAAGCCTTGAGTTTCTTAAGTAATTGGCAAAGCACGCTATCAATTCGCAATGGAAGCCGGCACCATAAATTATTTGAATTATAAACGGGTAAATACTTACCGGAAGTTTAATTAGTCGAGGATTTGCAGGTGTGTCTCGGAAACTGGATAGGTCGCCAAGTACCTCAATTCGATTCGTTCTAAATTTAGAACGGGGACTTTTCTAGCTTCCATTTAGTTTTGGTTAGTTAATTAAATACAACAAAAGTTAATAACAACGTATGTAAAGCAGATTTGAGATTGAGCTGGATCATAACTTTCTCAGCACTCTTGATATTTTACGAAATTTAATACACACCTTTTAATTTTAAAAGAGCATTTTGTAACTTAAAATACATTTAAATTTCTATCGGTGACTTCTGTTAGCGGTTTGAACTGAACATTTTTAAGAAAAGAAAGAAAGTTTATATTCATTCCAATTCTAAATTTAGAACGAGAACTTTCCTAACTTCTATTTAGTTTTTAAAATACATTTCACATATTTTAAAAATATAATAGTGTTCACTACTTAAAAGCGTGAATGTCGTGGGTGATTTTAAGAAAAATTAAATATCAATGTAAGTAAACCAGATCTATCACAACTTTCGCATCACTCTAGATATTTTTATGCATTTTTTTTTATACAAATTTTAAAGGAACATTAAAGTTATATTTGCAATATTTATTATTCGCTTAAAACAAATGATAACCAGGCAACAAGTAGGGCATGCTAGGAAACAATTTCTAGTTTCACCAGCGCTGTCTATTCATGAATTGAATAGGAAAAATTTTGAGAAAACATTTTTGCTTAAAATATTGTCAAAATTTTAATCAAGGCTCCGTTTGATTGGACGTCTACCCTTAGAAGCAGGACACATAAGTTTTCTTTGTCGGTTACGTCTTTGCTATACTTCCAGTCGAGAGAGAGAGAGAGAGAGAGCACTTTTAGAGCAATAGGTCAGGTCAGTGAGAGGGCAGATTGCCTCGATGGATCGCAGCCCCATTAAACTTTCATAGATTAAATTCCCTTGGGGTGAAAAAGTTTTGGGTGTGCACGTCCATTCGGATATTGGCGAAAAATTAACAAAAGATCCGCTATTCTGTTCCGAACAAAGTCACCATTCGTTCAACAGAAACTCTCTGTAATTTTCGTATTCGTTAATTGTTAAACCGCGTATTAAGCAAGTAAAAATATCCACGACAAATTTTAAGTCAACCTTCCTATTTACAGTCTGTTTCATTAGTAATAGGGCCCAATGCACGCATACAAAGTTCCGCGGAATGGTTTGACAATAGTTTTTTTTTTTAATTTCCCAGGTATCCATCACTGCGTTGTTTCAGCAGATCGAAGAAAGTGCGACCGAAGCAATAACGATCGTAAGTAAGAGTAAGTAAAGAAGGAATATAATTGTCTGAAGTCGATTGAATGGGGACAATAAAAATCCTTATTGTTCTAATTGCAAAATAGCTTTATTGGGTAATAATTATAATTCTACTGGGTAAACTATATAAACTTACAATGACGGTTTCAATTGCTAACGTTGTCTGTCAGTGAATCCGAATCGTCGAAAAATCTAAATCGGTTGATCGAAAGCTCCGTTGTATAATTTGTGAACGTACTCTTTGCGACTTGGAATGTCATCGGAATGCCTGTGGTACACCTGATAGGAGGCGTTTTTGAGATATCTCACGCCCTTGTATTGACTCTGAAACGAGAGAGGAACTCTGCTGCTGCTTTGAACTAATTTTAAAAACGGCTTTAGTAACGAGTTTGTTTAAGTACGAGCAGAGCGACTCTTTAATAAGCGAGTGTCTGGAGGAAGGGTTGCATACTATAGTTTTTCAACGACAATCACGAGAAAAAAAAAAGAATTTAACAAATAATTTCGCAAAATATACAAAATATAAAAATTAGAAATTCATTAGAACTGAAAAATAGTAGGGACTAGAAAAAAATCGTTGAATTGACAAGTTTCGTTCACTACGATCGTGGGCCACGTTGAACATTTAAGTCACGGGTTTGGGAGCGATCGGATATATTCGATAGACTTTACCCACGGATAGGATTTTGACGAGCTGTTTTGCAAAAATATACCGAAAAATTAATGTTCTTAGAGAAACTTCTCCAGGCACACGTTTATTAAGCACTCGCTCCGCTGAAATGCAAAATTTGGACCAAAATTAGCCAGGAAAGCAAAATAGGCGGTTTCTTATTTGGCTGTATATATGGTTATTAATATTCCTATAATCTAATATATGACACACTACTTTTTAGTTTTTTTTTTCACAGAAACTTCCACAGGCTACGGTAATACTTTTTATGAAACTTTTGTATTCCTCCTGCGTCGGTTTTTGCTGAGTCGAAATTGCTGACGTTTCGCCAATCATCCTGTTGGCTTCTTCAGAGCTTGACTGAAACTGTTTGACTCAAACAATTGGGTTTTATACGACGCTTCATTTAAGTTATAAGATTTGAAGTCCGTATTTAATTTTAAATTACATTAAGATATCTAAACGGCAACAACATAAATATTAAAGCAACATTTAAAAATAAAAATCACTCGCACAAATAAGCATATTTTACTTCAAAAAATTGCATCGTTTTTATCACCGAAATATTAGCAGTTATCAATTTTTAACCGCAATTTTAACAGAAAGTTTAACAGACTAACTTCTAGGTTGTAACTAAACGTTAGGTTTATACAAGAACGGACTCAAAACATATGATGGCAGCCTTCTACCTATTGGCTGTTATTGAGGCAATTTAAATCAATTCGTCTCCAAATTTGTCGTCGAATTCGAAAATGACAGCGTCAAAAAAACAGCACACAAGTCGTACATATCGACGAATATAAAAATCAACATCGGTCAAAAATGATAACATCTCAATTAAACGGCCATCCGATGCAGATATTACAAAAAATCTTTAAAAACCAAAAAAACAAACGGAAGCTAAAAGGGAATATTTTATCCGGGAAATTCGAACCCGGCGTGTACCCGCATAGCGAATGGGTCGGTTGCAGAAGTGGGACGTGACTGAATAATAATTTAGCAAAATTAAATTGAGGATTTTGATGCAATGGCGAGGGCATTTGAAAAATCCCGTTTTAAAATCACAAACATTCGGAGTTTCCGATTCGCTTATTATTATTCGAATTTGAATTTTTCCCCACAATTTTAAGATTTATTTCCTTCATTTTTCAATTTACTGACCAAACAAATAAAACAGCTTCATTTATATTGGTTAAAATAAATTGTCGGAATATGTAGTTTCCGTTTGGTTTAATCATCAAAAACCAGTTTTCTTATTTCATTTTTATTTCCAGTTCCAAGTTTATTTGTTTTTCTACTTCTTGCTGCAAAACACCAAATTATGCACTGATCAATGGACAAAGTGTCAACTTCATTAGCCACCATCACGAGCCACTTCTGAAGTTTTTTCGCTAGATTTTGGCCAGTGATTTTGCAAATATTTACCCAAAAACTAATGATTATAGTAAATGTAAAAGAAAAAGAATAGTGTGCATCACATTGGTCCACTTCTTCAGTTTATTAAACACCCGTTCCGCTCGTACCAAATCACTGACTAAAGTATCGTTTATTAAACTTTTTGCATATTATATAAAATGTGAAGATAATATTAGGTAGAATTTGCGGAGTGGTGCACTAAAAATGGAGTCAGTTTTTTAGTGCAAAATTACGAAAAAAGCACGTACGGCTTCTTTTCTGTGAATGTTTGGTTATAATTAAGAATCCACTAAAAATTATTTCAGTTTTTATGTTCGCTTCTCAATTCTACTTATTTAAAAAATTAAACAGTAATTTCATTTCACTGTTCAATTTTTTTAGTTTCTCTACGTTAAGGACAAATTTTTTTTAATTAGGACCATGATTTTAAATGAAATACAATACATTTATTTAAAATTGGAGGCATATATGCTATAACCAAAAACTTTCATAATCATTTTCATTTTTAACGGGTTTAAAAAAACTCCTTAACGGTCGTTAAACAAACATTTGGAATAAAAGTCTTTACGGCATTCCATAAAAGGTTTATGGACATTCGGGAGTGCTCGGCAAAAACTTTTCGCCTATCGAACGCATAAAAGCTATGAAAAGAGTTTTTAAAAATTTTATGCCACATAAAATAGCATTTTTGTTTCATATATCACCCCTAATAAATCTTAAAACAATTTTTTCTTTTGTTAAACATACAGTATTTTCGTGGCAAACACGCGACGCATCTTTCATGTATTTTGTATTTTATAGTATCTTCGAGCATTTCATAATGCGGGAATATCATTTGCACAAAATTCTTTCTTCAAAAATATTCAATTCAATTTTGCATGAAAATATCTGTTACATTTATTTATGAAGGGAAGGGAGGGGGTTTAACACAGATGGAACAAAAAATGTACTCGTAATTTGCGGACAGCTTGTGCAAAGGAAAAAGGCGCATATCGGCAACGCTGTCGGCAACTAACCAAACCACGGGTGCGCGGTTAAACAGTGCGTGAAAAAGAAGTACAAATTAACTGTCAGCTGTAATACCTTACATAAGTGTAAGCAATGATCATCCTGAGCAAGATTACCTTATTGTCGACGGTAAAACTGAAGAAACATCCTCCCGGTATGACAATCAAATCACCCGGCAGTAGTTCGATGCGAATCACTTCGTCGTATTTGTCGCGGACATCGAAATATGCCGATCCCGCAAGGACGAGTTGAAGTTGATCATCGGAAGTGAAGTGTTCCTGCTGATAAACTTCCGGTTTTTCCGACGGATTGATTTCTATGACGTCCTGGTGGACGTTACCTCGTCCGGTGACGAGGTTTTTCAATAGAGGATCGCTGCTGTAGTTGTCCACGTCCACCTGAATAAACGAGCGTCGCGTTTGATCGCATAGCGCAGAAGGCTAAGGTTAGTTTTGGACCTTGTTCCAATTTCCTTGCTTCGCAAATCGATTACGGAACTAGTGGAACACGATTTCGTAACGTTTTGAATAAGACTTTTTACAAAACTTGTGGATTCCTCCTGATTTTTGCTCAGTCGAACTTGCTGACGTTTCGCCAATCATCCTATTGGCTTCTTCAGAGCTTGACTGAAACCCCCCTCAAACAATATAAATGCAGGCACAGAGTAAAATGCGAGCCAGTTTCAGCCAAGCTCTGAAGAAGCCAACCGGATGATTGGCGAAACATTAGCAAGGAAAAGTATTACAGCAACCAGTGGAAGTTTCTTTGAAAAATTAGTTTTGAATAAGAATTCAATTTAAGTGGCGTATGCATAGGTACCTCTAATAGGTTCAATGGTAAATAAAATATTTGCCACCAAAATTAACAAAACTTGAGGTGAAGAAAAAAGAATCAACAAATATAACATATTACAAAGAAATTTCTATCTATTAATTTAAGTAATTTTGTTTATTTTGGCCATTCAACTTTGATGATAAAATATACCTCGGTATATACATTACACTCATGTGTGTTAAAACTGGTTAATAATAATAATATAATTTTGAAGATCCCACAAATTGTCTAACACTTTCACAGTGGATTCGCAATTATATGCCAAAAGTGGAGGACTACTTTGCGTATTCTTATGTTAGATATATAACTGTGGATATATACTATTTTTTCTTAAATATTGGCTTCGAATTAACAAAATTTTAGTTTCTTATTGCTTGACTCGATCTTTCGTGCCTACTGTGATCTATACAAATTTATATTTTGAGGAAAATCGGTTGATTTTTTTTTGTTTTAAAGAGCACAAAAAACTGCTCCTTATAAACCCTTCAACGCTTTTAAAAATGTAGATCCGTAGCTGATTTTTTTATATCTTCAATATTTCATAGCTTGTGTTTCAAAACCAGAATGAATGTCGTTTGAATGTAAATTTTTATAGCTGACATTTATAAGTTTCCTTTTCGATTATTCGAAAATCTAAAATATTGAAAAGCAAATGCAGTTTGGTGATAATGAGGACCTAGTGTCGCTTCGGGAGGTCTAAATACATTTTTAAAGCGTAATGTTTGCGATATAACTGAGGAAATTCTCTAGGAATATGTTAGGTGCTTAACATTATTTCGAAATTAAAATTAATATTTCTTATAAGGTTGTGATTTTAATTTATGCATCTTAAAGCTTCCTCTTTTAATGTAATGTTAGCAAAAAAGAACTAGCAAAAATTAAAAGTATTGAATTCAAAATAAGGCCAGAACAATTCGGTTATAATTCGCATTAGGGCGAAATTTTATCAGAGATGCAAAGAGTTCGTGATAATGGCAGTTTATTTTTAATTTCTCAGCAAATAATTATGATGACTAATTTAAGCAGTTTTACAATATTGGCCACATCATACCTGTACTAATTTCCCATCTAATTTATGATTGTTAGTCGAGTATAAAAAACTCGATAAAAAAGCACATGATGTTTACGCATCCGCTTAAAGTTCCAACAATAGTCACATGATACGATCAAAAAGATATATGCCGATCCTAATTATACCTATTTATTTTTTTTAACTTCAATTTCTGGTTTTCTTTGGCACTTACTGTTCTAAAGAACTTTTAAAATGGATCAGAAACGCACCGTTAAGTTTCTGGTCGAGGCACACGTGACTTTGAACAAGTTCCGCACTCGGTACGACCTAAAGGAACAAAATCGCGATGGGTACCTGATAATATTCAACACCGCTAGTTTTGTATAACTCTTCTAGCGGGACGAATTTCGTCTCGAGGCCTTTTTCCTCTTGCACTAGCCACGCGCGCACCATTTTCAAAGACGTTCACTTTGCTCGACCGAATTAATCAGGTTCCACCGTCGAGCATGTGACCCCGTCAGGTTGTCAGGTTGTATATATATCCCAAACGCCGGATTTAGTTTTTAAATTAACAAAGTTTGTTGACATGCGTTTCGACGCGACTTTGTCGTAAATATCTATCGCGTTATCTGCCGCTTTAATTACTTTAGATAGCCGGATAATGCGCCGTCGAAGTTTTTCAATTTTACACGCTTGTATCGTCGGTTAACGGTAATTGTTATGGTTATTATATTCTGTGGTGAAAGCCGTCAAGTTAGATCGTTACCCATTTTTTGTTCTTATAATTGAACATAAGCGAAGTAGTCTCGGAAGTAACTATAATCACAGACAATATGATTTATTGTGAAAACCTGAACAAAAAGGTTTGAGGTTATAGTTATGAGTTGTTTATTTACGTCTGCTTAGCTTGTGAGATTGTAGCCTAGGCTTTTACTTTTGTGTCAAACTGTGCATTTTTCTTAAGTTTATGTAGAAATGGACTCTGTCCGTAAAAATAATAATAAATTAATAAATGATTAAATAAATTGTATATGTATTAAAATAAATACTACTAAAAATACTACTTTTTCCACCAGCCTGGTATAATATCGTTTTAAATTATTAGAGCTATTCATTTGTTCTCTGATTTTCATTTTTGTTACATTACCTTAGGGTCCTTATTCTTGACCACGATAGAAGAGAATCACTTCCGAGAAACGCACTCTCTCGGGTTCTTCCATTTCTTGGTTTGTCCAATCGGAACCTGCATTCCTGAATCAAAAGGACCGGGCGAACAATCGGAAAACGAGCGGGGCCTTCAGTAGAATTTTCAAAAATTTTGACGTTTCTCTTGACGTTATGCCACTGTGATGTATGTAAATGGAATTTACTAAGTGAATAAGTGGGTAGTTTACTTGTTCACGGTTACTGTGTGCTTATCATAAAATAGTTGAGGCCAAAAAAAAGTCTTTCCATTACGGCCACTCACAAAGAAGTTATGATTGATTTCTTCCATGGGCGAAGATAAATGTTCCCAGCAACTGATTCCAAGGACATAATGACGGCCAATTAGGTGGAGTTGACCAACATTTTGAAAACCTCCTTCCTTGCCAATATAATTAAGATCTTCAGTCTTCTTTAGAATTCGATGAATTTGATAGCAAATATAACAGCCCAGGTAGTAGGGAACAGGAAAATTCCCAGAATACAATTGGTGAGTCTTCATTACCACCAATGATGGATAAAATAGTATGTCACCAGTTTCTATTACTGGTTATGAAAAAATATTTCAATAGAATAGAATATTAATTGAGCCTACTTTCTCTTGAGTTTTCTTTTCTGTCACAGTCAAGAATAAGGGCACGGAGTGTACATTAAAAGAAAAATTAATTGCGCAAAAAGGAACATTCTAATAGTAACTCTATTGGGTATAGTCAGTAGCACTGTTTCAGTATCATTTCAGATGTTGGTAACCAGCAAACTACTAAAGAATTGCGTCCGCAATAGAATAAAATTAGAACCCGACCAGACACAAAGTAAATAAAAATTGCAGCAATTTTATGAAACGTGCCTGCTTCAAAAATTATGACTAGTTTCTGGAAAATTTTAAAGGTTTTTCGTTAGCCTTACAGTTTAGACGTGATCTTAGCTATCTCTCCGCATTGTGTCTAGCACATTGTCACCCCCTCTTGATAAATAATATAATAGAATAGTTGTAGTCATTTTGTCTTTGACTACCATTGTATTGGACGGGTTCAAATAAAACGAAGGACTCAGTTTTAGGTTCTCGTTATATTTATGTAATATATACATAAATTAACACTATTATTAGATCAAATACGAATAATGACAATCATTTCCGGAGCTTGAAACTCCGTTCTTCAATTTTTCATTCATTATATATTATTAATAACAGTATTATTTGTGTAAGCACAATCGTATATTTTCAGAAACCAAAATAAATAACAAGAAAAAGTATTTTACAAACATTGTATAAAACATACTAAATTTAATAAAAAACATGAAAATATATTATCTGTATAGTATATACAGAAATGTTACAACTAATGACTTTCTTATTACACGGTACAGGCGCGAAAATTCGGAACGGAAATAACTGTCACTTTGCGAAATTAATTTTTAGTCGCATGTTTATGCAAGTCGAGGTTTAAGATAGCGGGATTATCGATAGGTTGCGGTACAGTCGCCAGATAATAAAAACGGATGATCAAAATATTACCGTTTATAATATGGCAACGAATGTGGTCTGGTGAAGTATCAAGAGGATTACAATAAAGAGGACAATATTTTAGCCGACCACCTGGCGAACTGCACGCTAGGAGACTATTTTTTATGTTTTTTTTTTAATACATGGTTTTTAATGCTGCATATTTCACATCCATAAGCGTCACGAAAACAAGAATTTTGTACTAACTATACAATTCGCAAATTTAACATTAAACGTGTGGTACCTTGGGAAAATTTGTCAGTGCCTGGGGTTTTTATACGTATAAATGCTTAGAGGTTACTTTACTCCCTTGGACTATTCAAATACTGAAACAAACTTAAGTGTAGTTCTTAATCGTGGAGGGAAAACAAAAAACATACGAATACTTAGCCCCTGATATTTGTCAACTTACATTTATTTTCGACTTGCATAAGTTATCATAGAGTTAAACTAGTACGCTATCTCCTTAAGGTGAATAAAATCTGCAGGACGAAGTGTGGACCGATTTAAAGTAGGTCATTATGAAGAATTATTGTGCACCCCAGAACGAGTTAACCGTTTTAATTTTTTTCGTTTGCAAATCGCGAACTCAAATATATTCTTTTTGCGTTAACAAAACGGGATCAACGATTTTTGCGTTTTGGGGTGTACAGCACAGCAAACAAAGTGGATTACTAACCGTCGGTTACAAACTAACGTTATACACAGTTTATTATACAAATGGTATAACAGGTATGACTAGCAGGTATGAAATTTATTACTAACTAGCGCTGACACATTTAAAATTTTTATTATGACACTTTCGCAAAATGAAATGGGAAATACCTCGATTTGAGGCAACACATAGTAGAATATATAGAGAGATGCTTTTTAAATTACTTTTAATCGTACTTTTTCAGCGTTTTCACAGTTTGTAATGAAGAATTATCGATCATATACATATCTCAAAAATCTCAACTGGCGGAAAATTTGAAAAATAGTTAATTTTCACACGACGCTATACAAAAATGTTATCCCATCCCTTCTTTAAATTTCGAGATACGTTTTTTTTAATGATGCATAATTTAAAGAAATTAATATTTTATAACTTAATTCCTGTCACCGGAAAGATTTTGTTAAAATTTAATTAATTGTTACGCAGAAAGTGTTATGTCTGCACTCTATATTCGTTTACAAACTGTTGAAAATGTTGTTGACACTGCCGGATACTTTAAGAGATTTTTTTTTGTTTGTCTTAATAGTTAATATTTTATTCCTATCAGTCTTCTAAAAAACTAGAATAGTAATGACACAATCTTCCCAAGTTACAGATGACAGCACCGAGACTAGTTCAGGCACGCATGGGTAATACTGACTTTTGCTGCCACATTCAACAATATTTACATATAATGAGATAGATCACACGCCAATAAAATTTCATTTCACACACGTAGAGTTAGCTCACATTGTCGCCCAATACCAGATGAGTGTGAACTATACCTTATTTATCATACATATGGATGTAGGGTCGGGATTAACCGCCATTGATGTGCAAATAAGTGACGATATCATATCAATACATATTTGGACACTTTAAAAAGTTTTAGAAAAGTAAATCCGACAAGCCAACAAATGCTTCCAAATAGAAAAACGATCAATTTTATTTTGCACGTAATTTCCAATGCTTACCTGTATGCCCCGTTGCAATCCATAAAAAGGTTTCAAATTAATCAACCCAGAGAAAATTGGTAACACTTGCTGCTTTGTCTGCAGGGGGTAAACACGGTTAAATTTGATAATTTGAAAACCTAGTAGGACTTTTTAAAATTTCAAAGTGCCCTCTATTTTTTTAATTGTTGCGGAACTGACCCTATTTTAGCAAGTTCGCAATTAAAATCATTTCAGCATTTCAGTTAACACTCGTTCCTTTTTTGCTTCCCAAAAAAGACTTTCGCGCGTAATTTTCTATAAATGCGATCGGGTTCAACGAAAACGTAAACTCCAACAACTCGTTCACCTTTAGCTAAACATAATTTTATAACCTACAACCGAAAAACAAACTATCGAAATTTACAATAATCAATCGTAATACTACATAAAACACGAGGTTCATCAATTTGTTCATCGGTTAAAGCTCGATACAAGTGGTTTCGCGATATTATGGCGAATACGGAAACTTTTTTTTTTACATACAACGTTTATACTGGATGTATACCAAGGGTAACCTGTGCAGCGCAATTAATTTATTATCGACGATAGGGGAGGTAGCCTGGGCTGCTCGACACCGACACTCGCGACATCTGCTATCAGCGGAACACTACATGGTCAGTATTTATGCTCAAGACGGAAATTCGCCCGTACCATATCAGGACTGCATGTTCTCCGGCCGTCTTTCCGTCGCCATTCGCAACAGATTGTTGAATTCTACGTCTAAAGTTTGACGAGCCTGCAAACGGAACTTGGGTGTCATTCCTATAATTCTATATTCTATAATTAAATTGTGAACAACTTATAGGCAATGTTATTGGTGCCAGATATATGTTTATTCAACAGCCTGATTTAAGTGTTCAGAAGAAAAGGTGTGAACACATCAGGAGCAGTTGGTGAATCTGCAGAATCCAAAAGTACGGCGCATTGTTCGTTTTAAGACACGTTCCACGTGTTATTGGAAGGCAGACGAATTTTCAATTTTCAATTTCAATTCGTCAAATTAGTGTACAATACAACTTAGCAAAGTTTGGGCGCGCTGAATAGGTCTGATACTTGTGGGCAACGAATACTAACCACCTACAGACGAAATGTGGATTCTTCAAGGTTCAATGGGGCAAAACTGATGACACGCCTCCACTTAAGCCGTATTTTGGAAGTACTGCTTACTGTATGTAGTCTATGCTTACGAATGGATTATATTAATGGTTATCGGACGAAAAGTACTACAATTAAAGCAAATTTATTATCCGGACGACTGCGACATTCTGGATAGTTGCATAAGCGTCCGCATCCACCTTATTCTTGGGATTTTGAACCCAGTGGATAAATATATTAGGATAAATATATCTAGTTATGTGGAGGTTATGTTGAAAAACCACATTGTAATATTGAAAAAAATAATAAAAATTATAGCTCAATTCTGGGAAATATATCTCGTATATACCGACTATACACAAGGAGATTATAAACCACAAATGTTGAGATTCCTGAAATTTGCTTCGTCGTTAAGCTTTTCAAACAGCCGCTGGCGGGACACGTGTTGTAAGAGAACATCTATGAACGCGTAAAAAGTATATATTTCCAATTGGTTGTATTCTTTTGATGTAGCGAGTGAAAGGGACAACGGGGAACGTCACCGAGCATGTCCAACCTAACTAACTTACTAATTACCGAGAGTGGGATTAGACGTGGTAATTTAATACAAAAACCATCTAAATTGATAAAACTGACCTGTGTATTTTGTGTTGGTATTTGTAAAGCGAGGGCCATACTATTTACATCAAAACTGTCATCCAACGCAACTAAAGCACCATGAACACCAGACTCTAATAAATTATTTCCAAATTCCTACAAATTAAAAAATTAAAGCACAGTCGCGGGCCGATCAAAGATGGACGAACTTACTTTTAGACCTATAGTTGCTACCCATCTAATCAGCCGATCGTTACTCCACACTAACACGTCAGTATTAGTGTTTTCGCAATTTTTTCTCCTATCCTCTAATAAGTTCCGATCATAATTTAATCTCTTTAAACATGATATGCCGTACTGTAGACTGGTCCTGCACAAAAGTTTGAAATAAATACAGTTTTGCAGATGGGTACGCGATATCAAACAAACCTATGGAAATTATCCACCATTTTCAGCTGTCCCCTCAGATCCTTCTTGGTGAGATGATCGAGCATACGCGCGTCCACCAAACACTCCATAAACGTCGTCCTGTACTGTGGAAGACCCAAAGACGGCAGCCAACAATTACCGATCCATTCATGGTTCATGTCGCCGAACGCGAGAGTAGTTCGCGATGTCTTCGGAGCGCTGGGCGACGTCAGCGACACCATCTCCTGAATGGCCAACCTCAGTTTCAGTCTGTGGAGTGGATTGCTAATACCTAAAAAAAACGTCTTCATATCACCAAAGTTAATTCGCATCGCAAAACTAACCTATTTCCCTTTGAATTTCGGTATCGCTCAACGCGCTCATTATGGCACCTGATTTTACGTTGGCTCTGCACGCGGCTACGTACCAAGCGGGCATACCGACCCACAGTTCCAACCAAGCAACGATGGTCGGCCCGTTCCACAAAGCAAATGGTGTGCCGGCTTTCATCGCCTCTGCGAGGAGTTCGTGTCTGTAATCCCGCTCTCTAAAGAACCATACCGCATCGTTAGATCGAAACATAAAAATGAAGAACTTATTAGTTACTTCTTCTTTTGCCTTCTATCGAATTCACCCTTCTGGCCCATCTTGCCGGATATGCTCATCGTATCACTCAGATCCCCGTCCAGTAGACCGATACTGCTTTGGCTTAGATTCAAACCAGAGTCTACCCCGGGAATATCTTTTCCCTTAACCTAAAACCAAATTTTTTCTTTCTAAATTCGTTTCTCGAAATTTGCCACAGACGAAGGAAGGTTTGTCGAGACTGTATTGTTGTCTTTAAATTAAAAAAGTTGAATCTTACCTTTTCTTTTTTGCTAAAGAACCGACCGAGGCTGCTTTTGATTCCTTTTTTCTTCTGCGCAGCTGCGGCCGCGGCCGCGGCTGCCGAACTCATGTCCCTGGGCATAACCGTGCCGGCAAACGCGTTCTTGTGTAGACTCTCCTGGCTGCTGTGACGAGAGGATAGAGGTGATGGGGGCGTATGCGTATTCTGCCCTTGCCTAAACACAGTGTGCTCTACTTTCTAAGCTAAATACCTAAGCATGCGTTTTTTTTCTTCTTAATTTAGCGACATGCAACCATGTAATAAGTAGAAGAAATGAGAAATGGCAAGGGTCGCGTCTCAAATAATTCGGATTACCACTATGCTGTGGGACGCGATAAAAATAATATCCATTTTTTTTAAACTATTGTCCTGTTAAAATAAAAACAGTGATAATTTGAAAGTTTCAATTTATAAATTTCGACTAACATGTAAACACAACAAGCAATAAAAATGGAAAGTGTAGAACATGTAGTTGGAAAACATTTAAAAATATTTAACATATACTCTGCACTTTCCAAGAAACAACTATTAAAAACTAGTACTGGACAAGGATTATAACCTGTAAACCATTCCAGGAGACAGACCGGATGTGCCTGTTCGTCTAGCATTAACATAAAAACTTAATTAGAAACGTTTGGGTTGCTTAAGTTCAAAGCGATTTTATTTTCATAGAAAAACGTTTCTTTTAATCTTACCTTCGTAGTTCCTCTTGACTGTGGGCGAGTGCTTGCGCGACCCGTTCCAACCTCAACGATCGAGCCGTCAACGGTGAAGCCCCGCCCCCGCCACCCGCGTCTCCGATATGACTCATCTCCTCCCTGGTCATGTCCAACGGTGCCAGTTGCAGCTGTTCGGTGCAAGAACAATTACAGTGAGTATATCACATGTATAAGGGAGTGTAGTAAAGTCCAAGGAAGTAGTAAAAAGACATCACTGAAAGCAGGTGTGTGTGTGTGGGTGTGTATATACAGTTTGTTTTACAGTGTTCTTATTTCGCTCCTAATACAATTTCATGTTTAATATTTAGTAAGCCCCTTAACTGAAAGCACAAGTTTATTTTCTAATCATGCATTCTAAATGGAATATTTTTACCTTGCGTAGTTCCTATCCGTATATATACTTCATACCCAACTGTGTTTCTACCCGTATATCGCAACGCTATGTGGCCAATGAAAAAAGACGATCAAGAACGAGACAAAAAGTCAGCCCTCTTATTTTCAAATGATAAGAAATCAAAGCGTTTGTGTGTTAGTGCTGTTCGTGGGCGGACGGATGTGGACGGTTGTACATAAGCGAAAATAAAATATAGGCGCTGCCCTGTGCAAAAAGAACACGTATTTTACAAATATTTATTTATACAGTCGACATAAAAAAATGGACGATTTTGTCATTGACAGAAAGTTTATGGGTGAAGTATTTTTTTCTTGTACGGTTGCCATGAAAATTCACGTGCATAGGTTAATCTTGTCGCGATAAAATTCCTGTCAACTTCAAACTAAACCATAATTCCAAAGTTAATAAAAGCCTTGCATGTGATAAATCCGAGCAGATTCTCATCAAACCATTACCTATATAATAATGTATAATATATGTAACCACAATTTAATTGTGTTTCACAAACCTGACTAGAAGGTAACGATTCGGACAGCGTGCCCGGACTCAAAGAAGAGTGATATTGTTGCAGATGCGCCGGAGACATACTTGCCGGTGCCTACAACATCAGATTGTCATACTCCCTGACGAAACCCCAGGCCAAATCGGAAATATAACGCAAGTTATATCGGAGCAGAGAAGAGTGCGAGAGAGGTACCTTTCGATCGAATAAAGCATGCAAAACGCAAACATAAAACTGAAGAAATCTACCACAACAATCGCTCGGTAGTTCAAATGAACGGAACATGATATTTTTATTCCGCGCACCTTCCTATCGCAACCCCGGGCGAGGGTTTGTTGCTGTGGCAAAATTCCTATTTCGACGAGCACAAGAAAGACAAATTCAAAGAAAGTGATACACAGAAGAAAAATAAAAGAAACACTGCGAGAACAAAGACAAAAGACAGCTCACCGTGTGATACTTATGCAAGTAATCCCTCTGGGGGCTATGGTGTGACTTAGGTGTAGATCTACCGCTTACAGGGGGTGATTGGCGTTCCAGGCTCCGCCCCCGCGCCAATAGGTTCATGTGTTCCATGCTGCCCACCCGCGATTCCAACTCTTCGGCCCGTGCTTCCGTGTTTTGCTTCTCCTCTTGAATGAGCCGGATCTCATTATTGATGGCGTCCAACTGTTCCTGGAGCATCATCGCCAGCGTCTGGGCGTCGGTATGGCCGCTCGGGGACAAAATGTCCGCGGTACTACGACGATACGCGTTCCGTTAGAAATAAGTGCGCGGTAGAACCCATCTGATACTACCTGAACAGGCTGTCATTATCGTCTCCTTCGGCGTCGCTCGACACGTCGAAGGCTTGCTGCACATTTGCCAAAACGTGAGCCTGCTGAAGCTTTTCCCATTCGTGTTCGGCGATCGAACGCGAACCAAACGCCATCTTGTTGGGGTCGTCGTCAATCGGCGTCCTACTTTTATTCGCCCTCCGCGGCAAGGAATGAGTATCGAAGCTGGAATGGCTGGCACTTCGCGAAAATGTATTCGGATCGGCGGCGTTAGGAGACAGAGATCTGGTGAGGGCGTCTGTCTGTTGAATATTGTAAGCGATCTCTTGCTGCAACATCTGCCGTTTCACGTTGTCGATTTCCAACCGGGATTTCGCCAGTTCCTTCATGATGTCGCCCTTTTGTTGTTCCATGTCCTCCATCATTTTCCGTGTCTTGTCCAGCTCTTGGGTGAGGCTGTTCTTCTCTTGCAACGCGTGCATCCGCTCCTTCAAATGATCTTGAAGACGGTCGTTTGATTCCGACAAGAGCTTGTCGACGGTCGCCGAGAGTCTCGAATTGTGGTCTTCGTTCATCTTCAGCCTTTGATTGAGGCGCATCAGTTCGGCGTTCTTTTCGTCCAAATTCGCTTCTAGCCGTTGGATTCGGTCTTCGGCCGAACCGTGCCGTTCTTGGGCCTACAAGCAAAAGACGAAACACTGGCGTAATAGTCAAATCAAATGTTTATAGTTTGTCTTATTTGTTTGTAGCTGCGTTCGTTGAGACGACTAGACCGTCGCATACTCGCAACGGATAAGCAAATTATAAGCTCTAACAAAACAAAACTGCTTCCAAATGATGGAAAAATATCATCTTTAAAGTCATATACAGAATCTATATAATTTGTCGCCTGGCAATAACTAAAAAAACTCTTTTGTCACACCAAGAAGAAAGCGGAGAAGTGAATTTGTCTAGCATAGCGTTCAACAATGGGCGCGATCCTCTTGGTGAACACAGTTTATGTACAAGTTGTCCACTTTCGACAATTAACTTTATCCGTAGCTTGAGTTTTATCCGCTATAGTAAAATTTAAGTTTTTTTTAATGTTCTAATAATAACTTTAATATCCCGCAAATTGCTGAAAAATGGACACGTGCAGTTTTTTCCAAAACAACTGATTTCGAAATGCAGGGAGAAACGTTGACAATGATTCTACACACGGTTCTAGAGTACCAATTGCTATTTAATTATCTCCAACATTTTAGGGATGATTCGTTGTCACTTGGAGCGTGTAATGCAATTAATGCAATGGCATTCTCAAATTATACAAATAAATGCATTTTCTCCTAATTAACGAAACCCCAAGATGACGCCCTAAAGTCGCAAAATTTCTGTAGAACTTTTTATGTTAAATTACTGTTAATATTTTTAAACCGAAAATTAACATAGTAAAAATTCTAAATTTTTTTTTAGCAAGATCCACAGAAATCTGCATCATTTTAAGAAACGAATAAAAGAATACAACAGAATTTCGGTCACATAGCACATCTAACGTTAGAAATTATTAATCTTAACGTGCACGCAGGCAGCTATAAACTAGTGCTTCGATCTTTGTAAAGTTAACCTCTGCTGTTTCTCTTTATTGTCGCTAGCTCAAGGCTCACTTCTCTAACTATGCCTATTTCTATAACATCTAAAGCTCATACCGATGCTTAGTTGTTAAATAAATTAAGTGAGGTTCTGTTCAGGACTCTCTCCTCCTCATTTAGGATTGTGAACACTAACGGTCCACTAAACAGAACCCACATAATTTCACGACTATGAGATGATTATATATTCTTGATCCGGAAAACATAGTAACAATGTGGTGTATCTAAACAGGAAAAAGTGCTCTAGAAAAAACATTTATATAGGAAGGAGATTGAGTAAAAAAAAGTGAGCTGAGAGCCTCGTACCTGGGGTCTCACCTGGGTAAGCGCCTCCATGCGCTGCTTCAGCTGCTCCTCCATCTCCGGTAACTTGGAAAATTGCGCCAACTTTTGTTCGGCGAGTTCCAACTTTTCTTGAATCGCGGCGATTTTTTCCTCGTGAAGCTAAAATCGTCGATCAACAATAGCAGTAAGCAAAATTTATCGTCACCACCCTACTTTAATCTGAGCTTCCTTGTGCTGCAATTCTTGCTCGAGTTTCTCGTTGAGATCATGCAGCGACGTGCTCTCGCGCTGAGCGTTGAGGTACCGCTTCTCCAACGTCGCTATACGTTCTTCTTGGTCTTCTTTTTGAGCCACGTTTTCGCGTAAATCGCGCTGGAGCTTAGAATTTGCGTCTTGTGCTTTCAGCAACTCTTTCTGAGCCTTCGTGAAGTTCTCCTCGAGTTCGCTGACCCTGTTTTGCATTTCGGCTACCCTACGTTGCCAATTGCTGATTTCGCTAGTCTAGAAGAGAGTAGAAAGGGTTTCATCATGTGATAGATGCACCACATCTGTAAACTTACTTGTTGTTCTAAAGCTTGTTGCAGATCGGCTATCCTGGCTGCGCTATCCCCCTGGTCGCCTTCCATTCCGCCATTGGTGAGCCGTGGCTTTGTCTGTGGACACCATGGAGAAAAAGGCCAGCCATATGTTTACATAAATACACTCAAAGTTCCTCTCACCATATTGTTGCTGTTGACTTGGTCCCCAATTTCCAATTGTAATTGTCCATTTTCCTTTGGCTTATCTTCTAATGCAGGTACATTTGGTTGGGTTACTCCTTGCTTAAGCTGCTGTAACTATAGAAACAATGTGGACTCGTTCGCAATGACTAAACAGAGACGGGAGATCAAGAGTAATTTAATGCCGCCACGTGTAGCCAGACCTTTATTCCGCGGTAGTATAGAGACATAATTATCAAGTCCGAATGGAAAACAGACAGCGCAAAACAGAATCGAAAACTCTCGTAAAAAAACACTAAAAGCGTAACACATTTCCGCATAAATTCTAGCACTAGATGTTGTGCGCTAAGCTGAAATAATTATCATGAATAAATTTAAACGGTTCCTGTACCAGAAACGGGCTATTACCAACTGCCGCGAGAATTATTACTCTCCGGAATGCCTTCTTCCTAATTGGAAACATGGTGCGGACCATTAAGTGGTTTCCTAGAGAAAACGAATTTGTGTTCTGACGCTGCTGTAACTTCTTTTAGTGGTTTGGTCGGTTACCGTTTTATTATGTACCGGCGGTTCAGTTAGAAATAGGCGAAACTCGAAACGACCAATGATTGCTTCGACTTACCTCTTCTTTGGTTGAAGCTAGTTCTTCTTCAAGAGCCGAATTCCTCTCTAATGCTACCCTCAGTCTTTCTCTAACCTAAACGGAGAGCCGGGTGATCAAATTCGCAGCGCCAATCGTTGAAGGCATATTTTTTACCTTTTCATCCAAAGCCTTGTGGTGTTCGAACAGGCTTTTCAACGCCTTCAGGACTTCTACCTCGCTCGAGACGCCCGACTGCGCGGCCGCCTGTCTCTTGACGACGGTCATGCGCAGCGACCTCTCGTGTCGCGAGACTAAACATTCTAAATGCTCTAAAAGTAACTGAAAGGAGAACGAATATCAGTGTATACCCTAACACCCCGCTATACCGATATAATCTTTGTAAGCCACCTACAGAGTATATGTTAAAATTAATATTTAAAGAGAAAGAGAAACGAAATCGAATATAAAACGTAAAGAAGAAAATGAAAATTGCATCATACAAATAAACTTCTTCATGGTCCTCTTCTTATCAATGATAGGCGATAACTACAACAAATTATTTTCGTCCTTCCGTTGATATGACGTGTGTGTGAACGTTTATTCCAGACCATTTTTGGACTTTTCTCATCCATCTGCCTGAACCTGGCTTCCCGTCAAATTTACCCTTGTTGATCAGTTGTAATAAGTAATATTTATGATTTATAGTTCCTAAAGATGTGTCCACAGGATGCCACAGTATGATTTTCTTTTTTTAATTATTCTTAGCAGCTCCCTTTCTTGGTTCATAGGCAGTAGTACGGATTGATTTGATACCTGATCTGTCCACGATATTCTCATACGACGCATCTCAAAGGCATCGATTTTCCTCACTTTCAGGGTCTAGGATTCCATTCCATGTAGTAATACAGAACAAACTTAGCACTTAACCATGCGATATTGGGTATTGAATGTTAAACCTTTATTTCAAAAGAATTTTTCCATTTTGAGAAAACTGCTGCCGGTCTATTCGATTATTGGTATTAACCTCTACATCCTGGTCCAAATTTTCAGGAATCCAGCACCCAAGATACTGAAATTTAGCTACTTGTTGTATCACTTCGTAATTTACTCGTATATTTTTTGGCCGATGTCTCTTCTAGGAAAGAGCTTTAGCTTTGGGAACATTGATATTCAGTTTTTATTGGTTCCCGGCTAATGTAACTTTCTATTCATTAATTCTCGAAGCCAGGCTTCACTATCAGCTAATAAAACCGTGGATCGGCGTTCATTGTTTTGGCGATATAGGTTTTCAATGATTTTCATATCACTCAAGTCGTCTAGGGCCTTTTGCTTTAAGAGATCGATTAATTCAGAATGTTAAGCATTGTCGAACGATTTCTCATAATCGATGTTGGTCTTAATTATTGGCGATAAATCAAAAACCGTTAAAGATGGGATAATTTTATTTGAACAGTATCGTAAAGGGTGTCGTGAGAGAGTTTCAGGTTTAGTCAATTATACGGGGAGCGAGATATTTCAAAAAATATCATTCGACACCGCTATTAAGTTCGACGAGATGTGAAGGACATTTTATACAGGGTGCATGCACAATTAAATTACATCGATTTTCCGAAAGTTCCATAGTGTTCCGCACGAGCACGATAGAAAAACAATGCGTCCCTTTACCACACGAAACCGCGAAGCTCTTTTCTTTTATAATAAAAAGCTGCTTCGCGCTACGCGCTACGAACTTGCCCCGTCCAGTGACGATTTTTCGAAAGCAATCTTGTTATTTAGGGCTTAAGTAAATTTCTTGACTTTTGACAATTGTATTCTTAACAGTTGCCCATAGGCATTCTATAACATTTTGTTCAGTCTTATTCCTTGTCTTTAATTGTCTTAAAGTGTGTTGGAAACGTTTCCTTTGATTTCGTTGTCTCTTTAGTAGTGCGATGTTCATTTTGGTTCTGTTGGCCTTTCTTATTTTCTACAAAAACTTTAGGCATCGATTATCATTAGTTAAAATACTTCAACATTAAAGAGTGGCTTAAAAGCTAACTCAATTGTAGATACAAAACAAAGTAAAAAGTTTTGGAGGCGCCGGGTATCGATCCCGGTACCTCTCGCATGCTAAGCGAGCGCTCTACCATCTGAGCTACGCCCCCCGTTATTTATTTAAAAATTTAGGACTGCCAAAAATAATTCCGAACCGTAATTTTAAATCGAACTTGATCCACTTTCGTACACTATCGCATGAAAACCAGTGCCGCGCCCATACGAATTGGTAATCTGAGTTTGGGCGGCGGTTTCATCGCTTAATATTAGGACAAGTAATATAACAATTGTGTTGTGGCGCCAGGGATGAAAATAGTTGTTAAAAAAATATTTTTTATCACATACTTAAAAAAATTTGGTATTTTGTTATAGACCGAATGGTCAAGAATTAAAATTTGACGGGGATTTCATATCTTTAAATTTAATTCTTTAGAACTGACTTTTATACATTTTTTTTATTGAAGTTATATGATGATGAATATAAAGATATCTTTTTACCTTTCAGTTTTTTTTTTGGAATAGCGCTTAAAAACCGCTGAATTGCAAAGTGAAAGGAACCTCCTATCACATACACATATAACGCGCACATTTTTACTTTTGTTCTGGGTTCACCGATATTAGCGATTCTTGTTATTTTTTTGAATGATAATGTCTTTAGACCCTGGAACCTCCACCATGCTGAGCGAGCATTTTAGCTATACACCCCCTAATTAGAAAATACTAAAACCAAATAATACGAAACGCAAATGGTCGGGCGCAAAAAAAATCCGGGAAATCCATCTAACCAAACAGCTTCAATTATAACTTTTGTCATTAAAGTGAAAAAAAATCGTATTTCACAGGACGCTGACGTCCGAAAACGCGACAAAACGAGGACGTTCACCGGAGGCCAACCCCCGAAAGTTTATTTTCGAACAAAGTCCATACAAAAACTTTTTGTTGCCCGGCTCTAAACCCGGTACATCTCCGCGGGCGCGTGTCTGCCGTGTATTTCAATTTATTAAGGGCCTCGTTATGAATTATTATTTACGAGAGAGAGAGAGAGGGGGTTGAATTATTGTCCCCATTGTCCGCCGGGGGAAGCCGCCGGGGACGTGTTTTGTGGGCTATTGTGTCGCGAGAAACGCGACGAAAAGCCTCCGGTGTACTAAACGCAATAACGTCAAACAATAAAACAACGCGAAGAATTTGAATTGAAAGCAAGGCGGGCCGGACTATATGGACTACAGAGGGCGGTATGGTATGTCTCAAAGTATATGGTTTTAACTTTTAAAGGACCCTCCCCCAAAACGTAACTACGACCTACTTACCTATTGTTATTGGGAAAGCCAACAACCAATAATTTATTCATATGTAAGGGACAAAACAGAGACGACTCAAGTAGATGTCGACCAAGTGGCTGATATCATGGCAGTATTGAATAATCCGTGTTACAAACAAAACAAACTGTGAAAAATACGAATGAGTGTTTATTATTCAGAGGGTTCATTAAACAAATAGCTTTAATAGAAATCTGCCTACTTATAAACTATAACTAAACTGAAAATAAAGCTAGAGGGTGAAAATAATTGTTGTTGTTGTCATCACATTTTATACTGTTACTAATGCGATTTTATTATACCTAAACAAAGACAATGCGATATTTAGGTAGTAGTAGGTTGTTTAGATAATTGCCGTCCATCCAAAGCGATATACCTTGAAACACACCATACCTAAGTAGGTTTCTATATTTAAGGGTGTAATTATTTAGCTCCGGATGAGAAAAAATGTTTACAATAAACAAAAGGAAACCTTCGCTTTGCGTTTAATAAAATTTTGGAATTTGACGAAGCTAATTTTTAGCACATGAATAATAGTACGCCATTTTCTATTACAATATTTTGAATTTTTTTATATCACCAATTTATTTACCGCAAAAAATATCTTCTATGTTTTTGTATATACGAACTTTAATCTTGACTTGAATAACGTAATTTTTAAATATCAATTTCTATTTTATTTCAAACAAACTGACAAATTTGGATCATATTTGTAACTTGAGTAATATAAACACTTAAAATGTAACAAATTTGATTTGGAATGCAAAAGGAAGACAATTTCTTTTAAAAATATAACTGACTGATAACTTCCCATTAAGGAATCCGAAATTTTAATCGAAATCTTTGCTGCCTACATGTGTTTATACTTGCGTGCATATAAAATCAACCCACTGTAAAGTTTTGCCGTTCTTTCAAGGACGTTTCTATGTTGGCTCAAATTTATTAAGTGTAGTTATCGACATGTGCAGTAACCGACAAGAAACGAAACACATTTTGGGTGTTACATAGTTAAAGTTGAAAGTTACAATTTGCTAATTCTACACGCAAAGTATATTTACAACCCACCTCTTAAAGTGGCTCTCAGGCTAAAAACGCGGCCACCAATGACTTGTTAGTTTGAAATTGTTTTCGTACATGCAAGAAAGTTTGCGATTACATAATAATACTAAAAAAAATGTTATACAAAGAGCAAATATTGAAATACAAACTAAGGCAAAGAAAATGTTTCTTTACAAAATTTCAATTCGACTAAATCAATATCGTCCTTTCTAAAAACATTTCAAAATTTCAAATACGATAAAAATATTTTCTTAACCTGTTTTGTTTTTATCATGTTTTTTCTATACAGCATAATAATAATAATATGTGTTTTTACATCTGTATCGTTTCTAAATTGTTTTTTATGTATGTGTCATGTTAATAAAAAAAAACTGCGATTAGGATTTACGACCAATTGTCTTGAACCATTTGATGAACGGAAAACGGAGAGTTGCTCAGACTTTTGTTAATTCTTATATTCTATGTAACATCGTTGTATGAAAAATGTAGTATCACATTTTCGGCACCCACACCATTGTACGAGAGAATTTTCTCGCATTCTAAAATATCAACGCAAGCAAACATGTTACATTCCCAAGACATGCTTCCATTGTGTGCGTATATGCACTCGCAGTATTTGCGGTATAGAGAAAATGTCTGTTATTCCTGCATTTCAATAAAGGTTTGTGTACTACGGAGGATGGTAGATGAGCGACGCATTGTTTCAGTTGATTTCAAAGGCCATCATACCATCATCGATCGGCTAACTTTAGGATAAAGATTTCCCGTAACGAACGGTGAAACGTAAGCGAGTGTCTACAATAAATTACGAACGTTGATTCGTACGAATTCGACATTGGAATTATTTAGGAGCGGCCGTTTGTCGTGCGCCAGAATTTTTATGAACCGGTTTAAAAATAATTCGAGTGACGGAAATCCTCAATTCATTATTTTGTAAGAGTTACGCGACAGATTTTTATTTAATTGTTTCTTAATTGGTTCAATTAAAAATGCACTTTGAACTTAATAAGAAAACATTACCTAGTTTGAATATTAAAAACCGAAATTTAATTTTTGGCGGAAATATAAAATCAAATAAAACTTTCATAATTTTTCTTTGGTTCGAAGTATTCTCTCACGCAGAATATTGTTCCTATTTCAATTTCTGTGCAATGTAAGCCGAATTTATGCATTTAATAAAAAAAAAGAATAGTAATAAGATTTAGAAATACAGTAGGTCCATGCTAGTCAAATTTAAGGAGAAAAATAATTGTTTTTTCATATTATTTGATTTTTAAGGTACCAATGCCTTGCAAAATGTATATCAAGACTAACTAAAATATTCAACTAAATATAATTACCTTATTTTTGGTTTGTTCTGTGATATTATAAAAAATATTTGTTTACAAATTTGTAATAGTTTATGCATTTTATCCTTCGAATTATATTGTTCGCCACCACCACACACAGTATTTTTTTCACTTTTATTTTATTACTTGCAACTATTTTAGAAGTTTTAACAATCATAAATAATTATAAAACATATCAACATAATATAAATTAAAAGTGTTGCCTGCATATAGAATGTGACTACAAATGTTTCCAAAAACAGTAACATATTATTCGCAGCACTGGTACTTATTTATAAATTCTTAGTATACTTTTCGGTTTTTATTTTTTTTTTAATTTTTATTTTCTTTACCTTCTTTTGTTCCTATTTCTAAATATATTAAGTGTATTTTCTGTTCCTTTTGCTTGAAATTTTAATGCAGAAAACATTTAGAATTTTAGAAACGTAGGAGCCACCTAATATATATGCTTGCAAACATGCAAGTTACTACGTTTACATATTATCGACGTAAAAGAGTGGTCGTAAAATAGAAGATAATAAGATATATTTCTAAAGAATTAAATTTACAAATATAAAATCCCCGTCAAGAATCAAACACAAAAAAAATTTAAAATATGTAATAAAACATCATTTTTTTAACATTTATTTTCGTCCTCGTCGTCACATAACACGTTTGCACACCACACAATTCTTATTACTATTGCTATGTATAATATTAAGCGATGTAATGCCCCAACACAGTTTATCACTCCGTATGGGCGCGGCACTGGTTTTCATGCGACAGCGTACGAAAGTGGATCAAGTTCGATCTGTAATTACGGTTCGGAATTATTTTTGGCACTCGTAAATTTTTAAACAAATAACCGGGGGCGTAGCTCAGATGGTAGAGCGCTCGCTTAGCATGCGAGAGGTACCGGGATCGATACCCGGCGCCTCCAAAACTTTTTACTTTTTCCCTATTCCTATCCAAGATGTCCTGTGATCTAGTTAATCCATACTTTTTCAAATAAAACAAATTTTTCGTTATCTAGGATGGTCAAAAGGTCATAAAATCCAAATCCACTGCCAAACTAACGTACATAATACATAAGTGGTGGGCGATACAGCTATTAGATATTATAGGGGTAGTGGAAAAAGTGAGTGTAAAAATGCACTTCTGACTGACTGACTCTATAGACTACTGTTCCATACATGAATTTTCTTTCCAAGCAACGATCTCCACATACTTAACCTGCTTTTTTTTTGCTAGAAATATTTATAGTAGATTCAAAACACACCTGCCAAATAATTAATAACTTTGAAATACACTGACTCGACCTCGAGCCAGCGAAAACATATATAAAGTAACGTATATGCAAAGATAATGTTTATATTTTTCAATTTAACAATTTGATACTTAGATAAAGTCCCTAATTTAAAAAAAAATCATTTCTTCTAGGAAAAATGATCACGTAGACTTCAGCAGGTCGGCATTTATGATGTTTTGCCTCAAATTGAAAATTCACGCAATGGGCCTATTTAACTGTCAGTGGTCACGTGGATTGTTGAATCCCGCGCGGTCTTATTGGTTGATAATGCGTTTTGAAACTTTGAGATCCGCGTCAAAAGTGCTTGTTTGTCAGCAAACAAGATAAGAAGAGTGTGGGTGGTTCGATATGTTGTGGATCTCCCTTCTTTGGTGGCACTGACCATAACCGATGGCCACAGGTATATATCGTGGTGCGTATCGCACAGGTAATAAAAATTAAACGTAGGGGTCGAATTGGATACACCAGATACAGCCAGATACAGATCACTGAGCGCAGGTCGCGTTTTCCTTTTGTTGTTCAAATTGCTTCACTCTCAACTGCCACGACCAAACCCGTACATGTACACGCGGACGTATCGTCTGAATGCGGACAGCCGAGCGTAATCGCTTTTCATCTAGCAGTGGCACGTAATTAAAATAGCTCGTGTTCCGGGTCCCTATCCTAATCCGGCAAGACCAAACGCAAATATCGTTTGCGATGCTTTACCTAGATCCACGCGTTTGCGTTTGCATTGCTAGTGTTTAACGCTGCAACAATTAATTCTACAACCTCGTTTAGGCCATGCACGTGAAATTGATTGGCGAAACGGCCTTGCCGAAAGTGCGCAAATGGTTTTGGTTTGGCTTTATTAAAAAAAAGTACTATTCTCTTTTAACTTAGCCTGGATTGGTGTCGATCGGGATCCAGCAGTATAAATTGTCGTACACAATGAAGGTATGTGGTCACAATCGTGGTCAAGAAGTCAAATTCCAAGGTAACATAAAAAATAACAGGAATTCCGATCGTCGTGATGAAGGACATTTGAAAATTCGAATGCGAGTCTCAACAAAAGATAAATCCAAGACCATGGTATTTAAGATATGCTTAAAAGTAAATTTAACAAACATTTTGGGCAGGGACATCAACAAAGGATAGAAATTTCTAAGAGTGCAGGCAAAATTAAGAACAATAAACAGCTGTGTGTGTATTTCTATTATTAAATGGATGTGAAATATAAACTTAGCACAGTATAGAGTATGCTGGTGTAATTTTGTTGAAGACCTGGACCAGCAGTGATTTATTGTTGTCGATTAGTTTGCCACGATTAAAAAAGTGAGAAAATATTGACGTAATTCATACAAGTATAATGGCGACCGTGATAGGACAAACATGAATATGGAGAGGACTGTTGGAAATAAATCGAATCCTACAATGCCTACAGTCATGGAGCTACAGCAACCATATCAAAATATTGTATAAATTTAGAGAAATTGAACGAGACTGGAAGTAAAGTTAGATTCTATAACTGATTTAGATTAAAAAAAAAAAATGATTAACTTGTTATTAGAGTCGGATTACACTGAACATGACATTGATTCGGAAGTTCCGACCGCTGACAAGATGATAGACAGTCGCAACAAACTTAAGTTTCAAGTAGGGCGATTATTTAAGTATTCAAGTAATTTCCTACAAGTAGTATGGATACGAATATACTCAACACTAAGGAATGGACACCCTAGAAAACCTAATTCTGTTACGGGAAAGGAAAGAGGAATATAGGCCTAAAATGTAATCATGGCTAACGAAAATGAGAGAATCATAGAATAGTAGCCAATACGTATAAGGACTTTAGGCTGGACTGGGTTAGGCGATGAACGTGGAGAAAGTGGAATGAGAGACAGCCCAATAACAGTTAAATAAGTTATTCGCGGGTTCGATCATTCCCTCGTTTCACGAATGTCAAACGCACGACGAAATACGGCCCGAGAAAAAGGCGATAAAGATAACGATCGTCCGCAAAAGGGAATTCTATCGCGACTGAGTCTGACTCACCCTAGTGTTATTCCTCTCGGCTTTGAGCTCCGCTATTTCCTCTTCCCGCTCTAATAGCTGCTCTCGCGCTGCGTTCAACTCTTTAGTTAAAGTGGCGAATTCCTAGAACAAACAACATCGACGTCAATTTAGTTTATTCGCATTTTTTCTTTTCGATCTTGAAAAGAAGTTCCTCGAAAACATGCAAATTTTGCCGCCTTATTATTATCCAATAATAATAAAAGGCTCTTTCGGAAATAAGAGAAATAAACGATAAAAACAATTGGTTGTTTCTGAAGACTCGCGGTGCAGAAATAAGTTTTATTATTGTCTCAAAGATTTGTAGCTATAAAAGATACTGATGAGACAGACAAACCAAAATGAACATAAAAAGGCCACAACATATTAAAATTAATTAGAATTAAAATTAAAATTAATTAAAAAATAAAATTAAAAATTAATTAAAAAAAATACACAATACATAAAATAACATAAAAACTTTACACCCCCCGACGCAGCCCAGCTTTTTAAATCTAATTCCATCTGGTTCATTTTTGCTATGATTAGGCACAGAATCATGATAATTATAAGCTTTCTTTCCATTGTGTAAAAGTATCCAACTTAAATAAATACATTTGAGTCACTTGGAAAAACAGTGGTTTACAGGTTTAGGTATTATTATTATTCGCTTTTATATCACCAGCAAAAAGTGGTTGAGATAAAAAGAAGGGGAATTAAATGAAAAATGTATATTTAATTATTTAATTATTAATTTTTGTTACAATGGTGAGGGTTTATTTGGTCAAAATGAAGAAAAAAAATATCAGGGATAAACCATATTGATTATTTTCACCATTTCACCTTTTATACTTTTAATTCTTTGGAAATCTTAGCGAAATTCTTTCATATCATACTTTACATCATATTTCCTCTCCGGTTCACCCCCCGAAAAATAATAACCGCCTGATTGTTTATTAACATTTCGAGAAATGACGATAACTTTAATTAAAACATTTATTGTAGAAAATAAAACTAAAAAAAAAATCTATAAATTCCTACTAACTACCTTGCCATAAACGCGCGTACAGGCGCCAAACATCGATAAAATAAAGTAGTATTTATCCGAGCGAAGCCGCCCCTCATATTTCTTCGTTTATTCCTAAAGTCATTTCTTGTTTGCCTACCGGGGGCCTAGGGCGAATATAATGCGCCAATTTATTTTGTGCCGTCGTATTCCGCGTGAATAATAAAGAGAAAAATGGGTGAAAATTTAAAGGGACTCGCGCGGTCGAACAGTTTAAAAAGTCCCATGAAAAAAATTAACCGCGACAGTTTAATATTCATTAAACGGCTAATAATATTAACAGCGCATTAGTTATTCATTTTACTAGCATTTTCTCTTAAACAAAATCGCCAGTCTTTAACTTAAAATTGCGCAAAGGAAAATTTTACATTTTTTTTTTTAACGAAAAGTGGTCAACGGTAAAATTTTAACGTAAACTAACCGGTCACGGGAAAATTAAAAGGGTTGTCGACGACAACGAACGGGGCTCGGATTTGCGAAATACCCCTACAAAGCACTTAATTAGCTCTAAGCTTTCCTTTCTTTTTAGTACGCTCCTAAGTAATCGGTTTTCACGTAAACTTGACCCTCAACGTTTGGCGGCGAAGCTAACACAATATTTGGAAAATGTTGTCCTCTTTTCTAAGTGCATTTTGGATCTTGAACGGTGTATTAGGTTCAAATATTTAATACTTGGCGCAAACTTAATAGTCTGTACTAGTTATTAATGCTTTATTCCCATAAAGTAAAAAGAAAACCTCTACACACAGTAGCGAAGACACGAAATTAAAAAGAACAAATATCTAAAATCAATGAATTCATGTAGCACAAATCTTTCCTCTATTTCAAAAGTATAAGATTATGAATAGAATATTTCACTGCCATTCGCCATTAATGTCATCAACGCCTGCGCATACTCAAGAGTATTCAAAAATGAATTAAGAAACAAATATTATTTAAAATGGTGATTTCGATAAAAAAAAAATAATTAACTTAGACACAATTTACGTAGCAATATATTTTTTCGAAGAATTACACTGCAAAAATATTGGTCGAGTTATAAAAATATCAATCAGTATATCAAATTAGTTTTAGAAAACTACAGCAAAGAAAAGATAGAAAATGTTTTCTACTCCCTTCTGTAAAATGGATAATTGTACACCGATCTAGCGTGCGGAAAGCGTCACTTTACATACGACTTGAATGTTGACTTTTATCAATTCTGACGGTCATGTTAGTGAGTGTATTTGTGTTGTTTGGCAAAGATGTACCCAAAAAATAACGGAGGTAGAAAAATATAGTATGCAACACGGTGCGGTCCGCTCGTGCCAAATAAACTCGTAACTTAAATGCCGTCTACCGCACTTATTGTATAATATACTATTAAATTCCAGATTATTGATTGAATGTCACAAAAGAACTTTAAAAATCATTAATTTTTAGAGGACATTTTTAAACGAGTTTTGCCCCTACCAAATTCGAACTCTGAATTATATTTTATGTATGAGGCGTCGACTCTTTAATTCACTATGCCGGGAGGTTTTCACCAGCAACTTAATAAGTTTAACGGACGGCCGGTTTTGAGGAACGAACGTCAGAAATTAAGTAACAAAAAAAAAACACGAACAAACAAAAAACTTAATGGGAAGTTTAAGCGATAAGACAAGAGGGTTGCGGTTCGGTGTCTTCCAGATTTTTTTTCGCAGTTTAAGTTGTATTATTGTTATAAATTAAAAAAAAACACAAGTTTCAGTTATCAATAAACGATAACCCTTTTATGAATATTTTGGTCCTTTAATTTTCCTTTACTTTGTATTGTATTCAAATGCCTTCCTTAATTATCTGTAGTGATGCACTTTCTATGGATGTTTTAAATATTCGTTATCTTTAATTAATGCAATTATTTTTTGTTTCTTTTATTTTTACGCAACTATATCATTGAGTTGAGGTGTTTCTTTAGTTTTATCTACTAATAAACCCAATTGATTAGTAAACATTTTACTTTACATGTTTTTTTTTTAATTTTTAGTGGTCTATTTTATAGACTATGTTGGAAATAATGTTATACTGTAATGCAGATTGAATATATAAATAAACTTCATTTATTGCGCAGTTAAGTTTATTTATACAATCACCTCTGATAGTTACTCGAGACTAACGTCTTCGCAAACTAATAAGATTAGTACTAAAGTTAAATAATGTCCACAATTCTAATCTACAATCTACCATTTAAATAAGTAAAAATAAATATGAAAGGCATTTTATTCACAATGCCTTTTAGAACACTACTTCGGCCACTTAATAAACTTTGAAATGAATTCTTGTATTGTGGTGTCATGAGTGATTTCTAGAAAACTGCATTTCAACCTATTTTATGTTAAAAACTTTTTTTCAAAGAATTCTTAGGAGTATGTCTTCTACTCTTGTATATTATACCGTCCTAATTCGCCTAGAGTTTAAGGCTAAGTCAAGATGGAGCCGCTGAGGTTATTGCGACGTCGTGTAGAGTTCTCCAGACGATATACCGTTTTTACAACCTTTTATGGTTGTCATTTTGGAATGAGTTTAAGACTCGCCTGTTGTAAAGCGGAAGGGACCATTCTTGTCACCACGTGTACCACAAGCCAGGGCCGTATTTAAGATGTTAGCCGACAAGAACTGTGCCGTGCGGACTGTTGTATTTTATGAGTAGGGAAATATTATTTGCATTTTGAAAATTCCTACACAAGGAAGCAGTTTTTGGAAGTTCATAAGACGGAAACCTTTGATAAGAAGGCTATCACTGCAATTTTAATCCGATGGAACTGATTTGGGGGACAGTTGGAACCCAGCTTAAGAAGAATCGACACCTCGCTGAAATTTAGTACTGGGGCAATAGAATTAATAAGAAGTAAAGTAGAAAAAATATCTGCTTCTAGATTGAAAAAATGTGTAGAATATGTGATCGAAGAAGATGTTTACAGTGTGAACTACCGGACCAAGATGCCGAAGAAATACGAATCGAGACAGCCAACATCCTCAGGAAGGCAAAACCACCCAAGACTAACCTGACGAGAAGTGAAGGACTGGCACTGCGTAGCCTGAACACGGATGAGGGTATCATCATACTCCCAGCGGACAAAGGAAACGCAACCGTTCTTCTGAAGACCGAGGAGTACGAAAGGAAGATTGAGGAACTCTTGGACCCGGGAAGCTACAAACCCCTGAAAAAGGATCCGACGCAAGTTAGACTACGTCTTACCAACCGGCTCATCAAGTCATCATCACTGTCAGAAGAAATCAAGAAGCGCATTGTGAAGACGGAGACTGTTCCACCAAGGCTCTATGGACTACCTAAGATACACAAAGTAGATGTCCCGTTAAGACCAATAGTTAGCGCACCCGGATCACCAACGTATTACTTGGCTAAACATTTGGCATCGCTGCTTCAACCACACGTAGGACACGGCACCAGTTACATCAAGGACTCCACCGACTTCGTGCGCAAGATTCAATATATCAATATTGAACAAAACGACATCCTTGTGAGCTTCGACGTTGTCTCACTGTTTACCAAAGTACCTCTGAAGAGTTGCTTGGACCTGGTGAACAGGATATTTCCTGTCGATATTTGCAAACTTTTTGAAGTCTGTCTGACCGGTAGCTATTTCGTGTGGAAGGGAAACTTCTACGAACAGGTGGACGGAGTGGCAATGGGAAGCCCACTAAGCCCGGTTATAGCCAACTTATTTATGGAACACTTTGAGGAAAAAGCGATCGAGACCTCAGAGTACAAGCCAGCAACGTGGTTCCGGTACGTGGATGACACCTTCGTGATTTGGAAACATGGTATGGACAAGCTCAACAACTTTCTGCAGCATCTCAACAGTCAGCATCCCAGCATCCAGTTTACTATGGAGACTGAAAATGACCAACAACTTGCATTCTTGGACGTACTAGTGAGGAAGCGGGGTAACAAGCTGGGCCACACAGTTTACAGAAAACCAACCCATACGGACAGATAACTGCATGCTCTATCCAACCATCACCCAAGTCAAAAGTATGGGGTTATCAGAACCCT